GTACAACGATTTTCATCCGTCCTCATCTGGTGAGATCGAAAAACGAATCTCTTTATCATGTACTTTCATTAGAAATGAAGGTCCCCCTAAAAATGTTATCTCAGGCGATTCATTGAAACCAAGTTTCTCTTCGTATCTTTTTATTTTGTTCAGACGCGTCAGACAAAGAGATCTAGAGATCCGTCTCAGCAGAATACGTTTGATTTACATGAAGATCTTGAGGTTACATAATACAGATGTTTCACTCTTTTCCAGGTATTCGGAATTGTATATATGCTTTCTTGCCAGCCCACCAAATCACTCATGAACACACACACACACACATACATTCAAATGTGAGTAGGCTTCGCAAACATGAAAATACACAATTAAATCCTTCACTACCTTTCGAGAGTTCTATTTTTATGAATAGTTAAGGCTGAGCCGGTTGGTTTTCTGAACTCAAATTAGGCTTAAATTGACCATAATAATGTGTTTCACCTCAAGTGATGTTTGCCAAACGGCATGACAGACGAACTTGTGGTTCGATTTTCTATTTCTTAAGATAAGTTGACTTGTAGGAATCCGTGAATTGGTCTCAGTTAAAACTGAAGAAGTGCTTTGGAGTGAATACTGGCAAGACATGCGACTCCCAATTCGTCTGTACTGTGACGGATACCATCAGATCCAGAAGTCGAAATTTACTTAGTGTAACAATATATATAGCCAAGAGAATAGGGATCCTTTTGCAAATCTATTTACTTTTTATACCTAATTTTGTTGCATTAATCAGTCATCCCACAATTTGGTTGGCTACCTCACGGGTTCGTCACAGTCGCAGGATGTCTTCGCACAATCTAGCACAGCTTTCACTCAGTGGCAATCCTACTTCGGTTTATGGTGCGAGCTAGTCACGAATTGCTTGGAACCCATTTTTTCTTCGAAATGAAAATTTGAGTCACAATATCTCACTAAGGGATTCTTTAAAATTCAGCTTTTTTTCATATGACATTCGAAGGCTTGGACGTTTTTATTGTAAACAATAGAGACTTTCTCGAACACCACCTCAATCTAAATGTTTGATCTGACTCAAAGCCATAATAGACTAAAGCGAAATTGTTATCCTCTTTTCGTGAGCTAGTGTCTAAAATCTCTTCAACAGACTCTTTTACTCGAAACTGAAAGTGAGATCATCAAATTCTGTTTGACAATTTTTATATTTCGTTTTGAGTAGTATTTTGTGACTACCATAGTTCTGACCATTTTTAATCAGTTCTAAGCTCCGTTCGTTTATATTTCTACCCTCTTTTAGTCTCTGTCTGTTGACTTTGTATTCCATCGCCGCTTACTAACTCATGAGATGGTCGCCAGGTCGGCGGTGTAGACGACGGTGAAGCGCAGCCCTTGATCTTGGAGTTTCCCTTCCTGTGAAAGAGAGTCGGAGACCGGCGATCGGCAAGCGTCAGTATGACTGGACGTACGGCGTTTCGCTCCGCCAAGGGTTGTTGCATCTGCGGGACCAAATCGTCGACATCTCGATTCTCCGTCAGCTCGCGTTTCGCCGAACACATGGTCGGCTGCTTTGGTCCGGCCAGCCAGGACCGAGCCGGTGACATGTGCAACGCCTGCGTGCTTTACATCAAACGGTGGCTGAAGAAGACACCAGACCTTCGGAAACTGGACTGCTATAAACAAGTGAGTGTTGAGCGGTGCCTCTTCTTTTTTAATTGTTTATTAATCCAGGTACTTTACAGACCCCCGATCATGACTCGGTGCTGGTTTATGCGAAGAAATTTGGGATTCGAGGAATCGCTTTTTTCATAATTCTTAAGTTTACCTCTATTTCGAGTGATTGCTTGGTGCAGAGATTCGAAGGTCGATTCAACCAGAAGACGACAGCAGATGTCTCTTGATCAGCCGTCGATTGGCTCTACTGAAACATTCATGTTGACGCTGTTTCCGAAGTAATCTCCTTTGATTCCGGTGTATAGGAGCTAATCTTTCCTCTGTCATATGACCAACATCATCAGAGCAAATTATCGTCAAAACCAAATTCAAGCCAACAAGTCAAGAAAACTCACAGGCTCGTTAGCTTTAATTTGGTCTTGATGATAATGCCTTGCTTTGATGATGTTCATCATATGACGGACAAAAGCTTAGAACCTTTTCAACGGAATTAAAGGAGATTACTTCAGAAACAGCGTCAACATAAATGTTCCAGTAAAGCCTATCGACAGCTTGTCAAGAGACATCCGCCATCGTCTTCTGGTGGAAGCGACCTTCGAATAACTTCATCGGTCCTGGTTTGTTCGATTTGAAGATAGGATTTCTGACTCTGTCACTTGGGGTCGTCATATAGAACTTTGGATGCGGAAGAAAATGTTAATTCCACTTTTGAGACAAAATCCGATTTTGCTCCAACCAAAACAAGCTCCTTCAATTCATATGGCTTTGAGAAAA